ACCTTCAGAAGTGCCTGGATTACAGGAGGATGTGACTGCCCAGTGCCCCAGAGCCTTGAGGAAGTGATATGGGTGACCTCACTTCCTCCTTCTCTGACTACTCAGGGAGCCTGGGGACCTGATCCTGACTTGAACAGGCAGTCACCAGCGATAGGCACGCCCCCACCGCAGGTGCTGCGGCTCCCGGGAGGGCAGTCCCCCAGAGGGCAGAGGGTGCTGTGTGGCTGCCTGCCTCTGCCACCTCTCTGGTGGAGGTGGGCGCTCCCGGCCCAGCCCAGCTGGCCGGGCTTTTAGCTGTTGGCCGAGCCTTCAGGGAGGCCCTAAACAGGGCCTCCGCGCCACTGCAGATTCCTGGGCTGTCCCTAACAGGCTTGTCGTTTGGTCTGGCCAGTGGCTCAGAGGCAGTGGCCTCATATGAGGCAGGCCCACCTGAAGCGCCCAGATATGGAAGGAATTAGAGGCCCCACGTCCTGTCGCTGTCCCTCGTGGTTTAACACACACACTCGCTGCTCTGAGCGAGTAGTGTCGCTGACTCCCTCCCTGAGCCCTCCGCATACTGCCCAGGACAGACCCTTCTCACCAGCTTGCAAAGTGGGCCCACACAACCTCAGTTCATTAGGGATTTCATGCCTTAACAATCTGGGCAGCAGCCAAGGTTGTGACAGAGAAGTATACTCCCTGCTTCCAAACGAAACAGCGGTGGCTATCCAGATGGGGCGCAGTCCCCGGGAGACCAACTGCACTCCTGTCGGTGGGTTGATTTCCTTGGCCACTGACCCCTTCTGCTGGGGTTCCCAGACACGCTGTCACAACCATAGATACCTAGATGGGACTCCTCTTGGCGATTCCCACCCGTAATTCCTCCCCAAAACAGGTCTTCTCTGTCCTTATGACTTTGACTCTTGTTCCCTGTGGATCACTAGACGTTAGGGACCCTGACTAAGGCACTCACCCTGCCTCTCAGGAGGCTTGGCAGTGGGCTCTCTGACACAACATTCCTTAGAACTTCCATCTCAGCCGTCCCTCCCCCACCTTTGCAGCAGCTGGCCTCATCAAGTGACAGAACCAGCTTTTTATTTTTTTATTTTTAGAACCACCTTAAAAAAAAAAAAAAAAGGTTTAGAGAGAGGGGAAGGGAGAAAGAGAAGGAGAGAAACATCGATGTGAGAGAGAAACATGGATTGGTTCTCTCCTACACCCCCAACCAGGGATCTGGTCCCCAACCCAGGCATGGGCCTTAACTGGGAACTGAACTGGTGACCCTTCAGTTTGTGGGATGACACCCAACCCAGTGAGCTACACCAGCCAGGGTTTAGAACCACCTTTTTAAAGAGGCTCTCCTTAAAGTTACTTTCGGTCAAGTGGTCCCCTAAATGGATTTTGCCCCAGGCCCTCGTCTTGCTTTATTCACTCTTGCTCCCTGAGCCTTTGTATTCCATGTACCAATTATGAGACCCCTCCAAGTTCCACTTTTGGTCGCCTCTGGCCATCCTCAAGTTTTTCCCCTGCAAGATGCTGTTTCTTATGTTGTCCTCTTCCCGATTCCACTTCCCCTTCCACTATGATTTCCGCCATCACCTCACCATCTCCTTCACTCTGGCGCCCTGATGGAGGGTAGATAGTCCAATGTGATCCCCTCATCACTGAACGCCCCCCCAGGCCAAAAGCCCACCCAGTGAGCATGAGGGCATTTCTATGGAAACCCTGACACCGGTGAGGATGCCCCAAGGGGAGCCCCCCCCACGCCGGGCTCTCTCCCCGAAGCTGGCGGCGACAGGGGCTGGCTAATGAACTCAACTCCCTGCTAGTCTACAGAAGTGGAAGCCGCCGTCCCGCGACCATCCCGTGGCACTGTCTGGGTGTTCGGGAGACAAAAAGAAGCTACTTGGTAGACGTGAGCCCTATTAGGAGATGAAAGCTACGAATTGCAGTCTTACATTCAAGTAAGAAAACCAACATAAATAGGGCCGTTTCAAAATGGAGTGGGAGCCACCGCTCCAGGGAAAAGGCCCATCGTGTTCCTTGAGTTTTGGAGTGTTTACCTGGGGCAAAATAACCTTTGCACGGGGCCAGAGCAGCACTGTCCTCCAAACAACTGTTTGCTGAGCTAACAGGGACGCTGAACTCTTGACCACAAGGACTGATGATTATGGACATTCTTTATAATGAATCAACAGTTAAATAGAGCTAGAGCAAAACTGGTCTTGGTAGCACCAATAGAAATTTCTTCCTTCTAGTCATGTAACTAACTCCCTTCCCTTTCCCGTGAGAGCTCTTTTCTTTCACCCCATCATTGGAACATTATCTGGGTTTCTGCCTGAGTCAGTCCTTCCCCAATAGCTATTCTTTGATCTCAGATAAACGCTAGTTGCTTATCACTTTGGTTCCTTATTTATAGGTTAACAAAACCCACAACTTTCTCCCCCACTCAGAGGTTAGTTATCAACCAATAGCTCAGCTGGAAGGAGCCCAACTCAAGGTCATCAAATGTCTATGCTCTGTGTGGCTGTGGCTCTTCTCAGGGCTTGGTTCGGCCTGGGTGATGGGGCGCGGGTTCAGCCCGCGGGCCTTGCCCCCACACTGACCAGGGCTGGGACGGCACCGCGCTGGCCCACAGTTGCACCACAGGGTTGGAACTGGGGACGGTTGAGAGAGCGCTGTTGGAAAGGCTCAGGCCAGCATGCCACTGTCTCGGCAGCAAAGGGCCTTCTGGAGGCCATGTCTAAATGACATTTGTCCCTCTGATCTCTGTACAAATTGCTACAAGTTAACTAGCCCTATGATTGCCCCTCCAGGAAACCCATCTGGCCCTGACTAATGTGGCTCAGTGGGTTAGGCATTATCCTGGAAACCGAAAGGTCGCTGGTTCAACTCCCAGTTAAGTGCACATGCCTGGGTTGTGGGCCAGGTCCTGGGTTGAGGGTATGAAACAGCAGACTGATGTTTCACTCCTCTTTCTCCCTCCCTTCCTCTCTCTCTAAAAATAAAATGAAATCTTTTTTTTGAAAAAGAAAAGAAAAAAAGCACCATCTGGTGACTATACTCCCATGCTTATCCATTGTCCCGACCGTCTGTCCCAGGAATGCCAAAATAGCATCCATAAGACCTCACTTAGCCTGGCTGTACGCACGCCCAAATCATCATGTGTTCTGGGTGCGCTCCTCTGGGAATGAATGTGCCTCTGGTGACTCCAGAGGGCTCTCACTGTGTCCCGCTGGCAGCAGCCAGCTCAGCCCTCAGGGCATCTCCCGCCCCAGCCCATGACCAACACCCCACCTGGGTACCCACATGGGACAGTCACCTCCTCTCTCTAAAAATGAATAAATATTAAAAAACAAAAACAAAAACAAACTGCTGTGCCCACCACACGAGATGAAGAGCCAGGCCACCGTCCCCCATGACGCTTCCTTCATTTGAGACATCTCTGGGGGACTCAGCCAACTGGCCGCTGGCTCTTCCTTCCTGCACTTTAATTCCCATGGTGACACTTTACCCTTGCCAATAAAGAGTAAACTGGCAAAACCTTGGACCCACCCTTGACCACAATAAAAGCTGAACCGCAGGCCCACGCATTGCTACCAAGTTCCCAGTGATGCTGGTGCTGGGCCGAGCACCCCACTTTGAGAGCCCCTGCTTGAAGGGGTACAGCTCCTACGCCATAAAGCCCACGATCTAGTTGGAGATGATCAAGGAAACAGGTGAGCCCAGTGGAGAGCAATTAGTGTCTAACAGGGGATACTAACACGGTGCCCCGTGGGAGCAGGGAAGAGGGAGCATCTAATCTAGCTCTGGTTGAAGCAAAAAAAAAAAAAAAAGCAAGGCTGATACAAATGTGAGGTGCTGCAGAGTGCCATGTTTTTTATTGAAGCAACTCAGCCTGCTGGTCGCCCAGCCTTGATTTCTTCTCCTTGTGGAGCGAGCAGCGCCCCTGCCAGCAGCCCTTCCGTTCTGCCCCAGCATTGCTGGGCGGTATTCACCGTCGGCCTAACTCTGTAGGGCAGGACCCCAGCTGCCGCTCACGATGGTAACTGCAGCCACCAGGCCCCTGTTAGCTCAGGTGCCCAGCACACTGCGTGCATCACAGCTTTGTAGTGCCTCCTACCAACCGCCAGGCCTAGAGACGGGGCCTCAGGTGGGCCTCTGAGCCATACGGGGGCCCCTCTCACCAGCATGACCCTTCCTGCTTTGGCGGACGGCCGCGTCTTCCAGGCCTTCCTGTGGAACGGTCACCCACGGGCGTTCTGCCGCACCCGGCTCGCCCACTCTGCCTTGCCTCCCTCTCTGAGCCTTACCCCACCATCCCACACAGTGATTCTGGTATTTCTACCTCATTTAACATGGCCCAGGGCTGCTCACATGCTCCTTGGACTCATCCTGGCAACATGGTAAAACCCGCATCCTGGGTGAGTGCGCCCAATTCGGTAGACCCTTCCTTGTCCATATTAGGCTCCTCCCTGCCTTGATGGACGCTCTCAGCCTCCAGTCCCCACCATACTCTTTGGCCCCTGCCAGCCCTGGCTGCTCAGGCCTTGCAGCTTCCTCAGCAAAGGCTCTCCTTCCTCTCACCACAGGCCCCGCATGGCTGGGAGCGGAGATGGGGCTGACACTGGGGTACCTGTTGTTCTGCAGGGCCACGACCTTGGCACAGCAGACTGTCTAGGAAGAGGTTTAACCTTTGGAAGTTGGCAGCTCTGTGACTGGCTTCTGGACCCAGTTCTCAGCATTCCCCACTGTGTGGGCGACCGCAGGTGTGCTCCCAGGAAGGCTCTCTGCCTTCCACAAATACCTTCTAATAGCCCGCAGATCACTCTTTCTTTTTCTTTTCCTTTTCCCAAAGACTTCTTTATGCTTACCAACAGCCACACCATTCCACTGTCTCTGTAGTTTCTCCCTCCATATTTCTCCAGCTCCTAATATCTGGAACCCACAGGAGAATTCTCGTCTACCAGCACACCACCCCAGTTCTTCAGCGGTAGGAGATTTAACAATTTCATTGTTACCTTGTGTCAACGGTGAAGGGGTCCGCGTGGCCAGTGCTCTAACTCCAGACTCCCACCCTGGCACCCACTTGCTGGGATCCATGCCTGGTCCCAACGGCCACAGCTCATGCTCCCCAGGGAGCAGATTCGAGGTGAAGACTGGCGAGCAGAAAGTTTACCAGAGAGCACTGCCCGGTATAAACACCTGGGAGGGAGGGCGAGAGGAGGGGGAGCTGGGTTTCAACACAAGCCCAAGTTTGGGCTAGGAGACTGGGTGTTGTTTAAAAACCCCACTGCCCAATCAGGGACGTGGGCTGCGCAGGAAGGCGGCACGGCCCTGGTCAAGGCGATTCTCTTCAGCTGAGGAAGTCTGCGGGGAAGACGGGCAGCTGAGGGCTGTACACTGTCTCCGGGAGCGCTCACCCCAGCTTGTCACAGCGTCCACTAGACTATGGGTACAGATGCTGGCTGATGAGTGACCGGTGAATGGTGTGACATTCTCTGGATGTGAATGGTGAGCATCTTTTCTCATCGATCCAGATAATTCAGTGAATGAGGAAGCAAGGTTGTGTGCAGACAGAAGGTGGGGTGCACGTGTTGTGTCCGCCAAGGTCCAGCTCAGAACCAGAACGGGGGCAGCCTTGACAGGGCAGTTATGTGGGCCCTGTCCTGGGAGGGGTGTCTGTCCGTACACTGACACAGACTCTCTGTCAAACGTGGAACTTTTGGCTCACCTGTACTTTTCAGTATAAGACCAAAATGTTTTTAAAAGTATCTTTGAAACAACTTGGGTATGTAAGTCTACTTTTTCAACTGTAATTTTTATGAAATTTAAATGCAGATAAAGTATTCCTTATGAAGTTTAGTATCTTAACTGAGATATGTTATAAGTGCAAATTACACACTGGATTTCAAAGACTCAGTATGAGAAAAAGAATGTAAAATGTATCATTAATAATTTTAAGACGATGATTATGTGTTGAAATAATAATTGTGGATATGTGGAGTTAAATAAAATACATCAATAAAATAAATCACCTTTTTCTTTTTCCTTTTTCAGTAAGGCTACCAGGTGACTTCAAATTACTTACTTGGCTCACACTGTGTCCTTTGCGCAGCGCGGGGTTTAGAAGACAATGAGAGGTCAGGCACAGCCGTACGGTTTTCGCATTGGCCACCAGGTGGCAACCTTATCCCAGGACTGCGGTGTTCAGATACCAGAAGGCCGCCTTCCACAAGATCGGTCTTACCCACCCCCTCCGCCCAAGATCGCTCTTGAAGGAACTTTAGAGAGAAACATCAAGATGGGGAGAAAACTGAAAGATCCAGGAGAGGAGAGAATGATTTGAACCGGGGATGATGTTTGGTCGTCGCTGTGGGCTCCGCTGTGGGAGGATAGAATAGGGGAGGAACCGTCAGGATCCTTTCTGCTTCGCCCCCAGCTCCAGCGCTTTGGGGCAACGGGTGCCTGCCCCAGGCCCATCTGTGACCGCTGGTACAGGTGTCCTCAGAATAAATGGGGGTGCAGAAGCTCTGTGGTCAGGAAAACTGCCCCCCCCCCGCCCAGCCCTGTCCCGCCTCTGCCTGCCCTTTCCGGGGGCTGCTGAGCAGGACAGGGAGCCCAGGGCGGTTCTCGGTGGGATGGCAGAGGGTTCTCTGGCGCCCAGAGCTCGTACGCTGCCTCCTAGTCTTGAGCTCAAGGGACTGACCCCCGCTAGGGACCTTGACCTCTCTCCATGTGTGTTGCGGGCCCGTACTCAGTGCTCATAGGCCAAAATAAGAATTCAGAGAATTTGGAGAATCTCCGCTACTTCAACAGAAATTCACAAATTGGCACTTCAATAAAAAAGATAATTATAATGGGTTGAAACACTCAAACATGTTTAAATCCACAAGTACTTAATGATTCTAAAAAACAAAAACAAAAGTAATTGGGTCACCTTTGTGGGACGATAGAGAACAAATTCATTATCTTCAAAAATCAATAAAGGGAATAAATGTTTGGGTTTTGTTTTTTTTTAAAGCTGTAACAGAAAAAGAAGTAAGCTTATAGCCTGCATGAACAGGACCACTGGATAATCGGGTGATGGATAGACAGCCATCTCTCTGGAAGGGTTCCAGATGACAAATGAGAAGGCAATGTCAAAATTAAATCCCACCATCTCGCAAGCCCCCAAAGAACTGACACATGAGACACTGAGCGTTGAGGTCAGCTGACCTCACAGGAAAGAGAAGAGTCGCTGGCTTCCTTCGTCATTACAGCCTGACCATGGAAGCCAGCCCCGCCTGCCGCCTGGCCAAAGGGACCGGGCCTGCCACCGACCAAGCCTCTGCGCCTAACTGCTGAGTCTCGGCAAGCGCAGGGGGCAAGGAGGGAACGGCGGCGCCAACCTCTGGCGCCGGGAGGGGAGATACGCAGTTTAGTGTGTGGGCACCTGGGATCTGAAGCAGGAAGGGCGAAGGCTGGGTGCTTGTCCTGGGGACTGGGTGCGGAGGGGAACAAAGGCAGAGAAAGGTACCTGGAGCACATCGTGTAGTGGAGGGAGAAGCATTCATGGGCAGAGGACCTTGGTCCCAATGCCCACTGCTCAGGGCTATGACTGCATAGCCTGGCCAGGGGCTCCTGCCATCCAGAAAGCTCCATTGGCTAAAGCTGGCTCCAGCAAGTAGGACCTGAATTCTACCCCGGGGAGGATGACTAGCCAAGGCAGCTTCCTGAGAAGGCGGAGGAGGAAGGAGGCGGGTGGGGAATGCCTGAACCCTGGAAAAGGAGAGGTAATGCCGTCCCCTGGTGGGTAATGGGGAAACTGCAGCCCCACATGCCCTAGGTCACAAAGAGACACAGGCAGTCAGTGTTTCTGTACAGATGCTTTTATTGGGACACTCAGGGCTGGGATGATAAAAGCCTGGGGCTCAGTTGTTGGCCAGGATCTCCTCAACCCAGGGCATGAGCTCCGTGACGCGAGCATACACGGCAGGCATGGAGGTGGAGCACATGCCGCTGCCCCAGGACACGATGCCCACCAGGTTCCAGGCTCCATCCTTCTGGCAGACGAGGGGGCCGCCAGAGTCGCCCTGCAGGACGAAAATGGCCTTGTGTCCAAGCCTGAAAGTGGTTGCTGGGGCCATAGCATACGCTGACCTGGCTGAGTCCAGGGGAAGGGAGGGGGTGCAGAGAAGTAACAAGTGTGGGCACAGTGGCCAGACACAAGGTACTGAGACCTGGCCAAATGGCAGACCCAGCTCGCGGCCTATCTTGGAGGGCCCAGGCGAGTGACTCACCCTCTCGGCCCTGCTGTCATCTGTCGAATGGGCTGAGAACATCCAGCTCACGGGGCTAGTGTGAGCTGGGACGCCCGGGGCCACAACTGGCCAGAGCAAGCCCTCATCGGGCATCTGTTAGCTCTGGTCCTGGCTTCCGCCGGTGCGCCGCCAGGCAAGGAGTGAGGTTAAGTAGATCGTGGTGGAAAGGAGTGGCCCCCCTGGACTGACTAGGGTGGGGCGAGGCCAGTGAGGGTGGGCAGGCGGCACAAGCGAGGCCATACCATGCAGGAGGAGACGCCGCTGGCGCCGGCGCAGACCATCACATCGGTGATCTTGCTGCCCCAGGTCTTCTTGCACTCGGCGTTGGACAGGAGGGGCAGGGTGGCCTGCTGCAGCTTGTCGGGGGTCTTGTTGGCTGGAGAGACAGAAGGGGTGAGGTCAGAGCTCTTCAATCCAGCAGCCTGCCCTGGGGAGAAGGGACCAGGGCTTCCTGGCGTCCTGCCCTCCCCCCGCATGGTCTTCAGCCTTCACCACCACGGTGATCATGGACGTAGAGCCCCTCACCTTCCCTGAGACCCTACCAGCATTTGGGGGGCACAGTTCCTTTCTGATTCCACACTGGGCAGTGGTGACTTTGCTTCGAGCACAGCTGTTCAAAAAAAACCTGCTCTGCCAAGCCCCGGTGTGGTCTGGGCCCGGCCAGCCACTGTGTGGAGGGCTGCAGCCTCCTTTCCAGGGAGAGGAGCTGACGTCCTCATGACTGGAGACCCCGGAGGGGACCTGCCACTCTTGGCAGCAATGAGAGAATCCCTCCTCCCACTGCCCTTTCCCACCTGCTTCCAGCCAGGGGAGCTGTGGCAGAACTCGGGGCACTGGAGGAAGATCAGGCAGAACCAGCAGCCGGGGAAGGGGAGGCCAGGCCCGACACCCAGGCGCCTGAACCAGAGCTGGGTGTCTGGCCCCCAGCCCAGACTACACAGCGGGCTGGATGCACTGCCCTGCTCAGTCTGGAGAGAGGTCCAGACTGGAGACAGGACCCTGTCGAGCTGGGTGCAGGTTAATGAGGGCAATACTTGCTGGTACTGAGGTGTTTCTTCAGCAGCTTATTATTCAGGTACATATTATTAAACCATGTTTTTATTCACGTTTGATAGGTTGCTCATTAACAGGGTTTAAATAAAGAAATGCAAAGATTTACGATTAATATTGGAATTTAAACCCCAGAAAAGAGCTTTCTGGGTCCCGCCTGGAGACCCCTGCTGCTCAGGCAGCCACGGCCCTGCCCGCCGCTCCTAGCTGGAAAGGCCACACCACGCTCACCATTGTACTTGGTCTTGCCCCAGCCCGTGGTGGCGCACAGTGTCCCGGCAGGGAAGTCGTCATCAGCATTGGGCAGGCACACGGCGGACACAGTCTCGGAGAAGCGGGCAGGTGTGGCCAGCTTCAGCAGGGTGATGTCGTTGCGGACGGTGATCATGTTGAACTTGGGGTTCTTGAACACCTGCGGGGTGGGGCCGGAACGTTGAAGTGAGGCACTAGGACCCATCAGTGATCTGCAGCTTTCAAGAAGACACACTCCTCCCCCTGCGGCCCACTCAGGGCTCACAGACCCACAGAGCCCGGCGTGAGAATTCTGAGGCCCCACCAGCTGGCTCCTGTCGCTCAAGCAGCTGAAGGCTCCTCTCCCTCCTGCCCCGGCCCCGGCGCCTCAGCTGAGCGTCCCGGCCAGCCCAGCAGGGCTGGGCGTACCTTGGCAATCTTCAGCACCTGGATGTCCTCCGCATCGGAGCCCTGGTCGAACTCTCCGGCCACAACCAGGTGGGAGGTCCTAGCAGAAGCATCTGGGAGTTAAGGGCCCCGAACATGCCTCCCCGCCTCCCCTGCCCCCTATCAGAGTCAGCCCAGGCCCTCACTTGACTCCGCAGTGGGCAGCGGTGACCACCCAGTCCTCGCTGATGAGGGAGCCCCCGCAGAAGTGGAAGCCGGTTTTGTCCTGGAGGAAGATGGAGAGGTCAGCGCTGACTGGGCGCAGCAGGCCCACCACCCCCGTGGGCCCCCCACTCACAGGCAGAGCCCCCCTCACCTGCAGGGACACCTGCCAGGGCCAGGAGCCAGGGACAGCATCCTCCCCGTTGACGATCCGGGACAGGCCGCTCAGCACGGGTTGGATGGCGGGAACGCCGCAGCCTGGGGGTTCCGGGGACAGGGAGACGGGTGAGGAAGGTCTGAGGCCTGGGGCCAGTCTGCAGAAACCCTGGTTCCCACCTCAGCCCACCGAGGTCACACAGGACCTCACCGCCACACTCCCTCCTCCTACAGGGGCCTTCTCCTGGCACCTCCTGGCCTGTGGGCTTAAGGACCCCACCCCCGTGCAGCTTGTTGACCCCGGGCCATCCTTCCGAGGACGCAGAGGGACAGGCCTGCCCGCATTCGGGCTGTCCTGCCTGAAGGGGCAGGACGTGGGCTGAGCATCAGCAGGCCTGGCTTGACTCCTGGCCCCCCCTTGCTGAGACTCCAGCGCTCTCTTTCCTGAGTAACCAGGGGAGCAGGGAGCTCTAACCTCGGGGTGGGGGGCAAGGCTCACCTGTTCCATTAGTGGGGCAAGGAGGTGTGGAACTAAAATTGCCAACCCAAGCACGCGGGGCAGGGGAATGCGGACCCTGCTGAGGGAGCGTGAAACGTCCCGTCTGACACAGCTGGGCCCACGCTGGGTTTTCTGTCCCTGAGATTTCAGGGGCTACTCTTTGTACAGTTTTTATTTCTCTGTTATTGAATAAAATGGGGCTTGGATTCCACACCATGGAACGACACATCAAGGAAACAGAAAATAAAGGACTTGAATTGTCATAGGAACATGAGAAAAGACAGGCGCACTTAATACACCCATGATGCACTTGCTGGGTCAGGACGAGGTAGGCGCTGCACTGCCCCCCCCCCCCGCCCCTGTGCACAGGGGTTACCGTTTGTCACCCCTACAACCAGCCAGGCCATCTCGAGGGTCACACAGGCCTTGCTCCCTGCCACCCCCGTCTGTGGGAATTGGACTGGCTCTTCCCTGAAGATGGTTATTGCCAAAACATATGTCGTTGTAATAATCTATGTTCTTGTAACGGCAAAAAGATTAGACATAAACTGTGATGCATTTTCACAGCGGAGTGCTCTACAGCGGCTGAGGTGAATGAGCTGGGCCATCAATGGGGATGAAGCTGTAACAGGACGTGGTTGGAAAAACGCACGCAGTAGAGCTGATGTGGAGTGTCACACTACTTATGTAAGTTTTCACAAAGGTTAGACATTCTCTATGGATATATCAATATGTAGTAAATGTGTAAAAACCTGCACAGAAATGATGCACAGCCAGGTCAGATGACGCTTCACCTTCCAAGGGAAGGCGGGAGTGGGGAGAGGGGAGCTTTCGCTGAATCTATTTTATGTTTAAAAAAAAAAATACCTCAAACCAACCTGCTAGAAGGTAACATTTGCTAAACCCTGATGATACATGGACGTCATATAATTTTCTGTATTTTTTTTTTTTTTTTACAATTTCTTCTATTTTAGAAACAGAAAATAAAATGATAGCAAGTGCTTGGCACAAAAGTAGAGAACCTGGGTCTCCACCTTGGGTGGTGCCTGTGACCCCCCCCTCACCCTGCCCCCAGCACCTCCTGGGCCACTTCTGGGGCCTCAGACCTCGGCGGGGCCCAGACTAGCTTTTTCCTCCCGCCCGGTGCAGGGGTGCGGCTCAGAAAGCCCGGGAGGAGCGCCCTGTTCCCGGCGCCTCAACACGCCCCTCGCCTACCGTTGCGGGGGGGGGACCCAAGGTGCAGGGAGGGGCGCTCAGAGCTGCCAGGCCCCAGGCCCTAGGGCTCACCCTGGACAGAGCCCCTCTGTCACTGGGGCCACTGGGGACTTAGGGGCCTCCTCCGCACTGCACCCCAGCCTGGCTGCCCACCCCTGTGCACACACTCACCGAAGGCGGCCTCCACGAGGGCGAAGCAGGAGAGGAGCCAGAGAAAGGCCATGTTGCTGCAGTCAGAGGGATGTGCGGTGCCTGCTGTGAGGGCTCCTTTTATATCCCCTGGAACCCTTTAAACGTCACCAAGCCCTTGGGTCCTGCCCAGTCAGAGAAGCCTGCGGGCCACCCTCCCCGTTTTCCAGGGACCTTGGGCGATAAGTGGGGGCCAAGCCCCGCTCGCAGCCAGGCCTGGCTCGCAGCCTATGATGCCCCATTCCCTGAGAAAGGGGCAGCTGCCCTGGGCCAACGTCACCCGTAAGGTATGGCAGCACCAGGCCTTCCCGGGGTGCTGCGGGGAAGGCTGCCCCCCGGCTGGGAGCCCAGGTCTTGCAGAGCCCGGCTCTGTGCAGTCTGTGCCAGGACACAGCTCCAGGGGTCTCTGCTGCTCCCAGGGTGACAGGGAGGACCCTCAGCTCCCAGCAACAGGCAATCCCACCGTGGGACCAAAGAATTAATTCAGAGAGGCCCAGCTGGTCACCAGAGGGAGGCCTCCCGCCCCATGGACACAGGCTGCAGATTCTCAGCAAAGAGCGTGTTCAACGTATTGCTCCTCAGAAAGTGAAGTGTTACACAGATATCCTGGGTTACCCGGAGGATCCCCTTGGCACCAGCCCAGCCAAGCAGCTTCAGAGCGGTGTGAGGACCTGCGGGCCTGCAGGAGTCGCCCACAGAGGCCACACGGGCTGGCTGTCCCACGTCTACCACTAGGCTAAACTAAATTCTCTTTTTCTGTGGTAATTCACAATAGAAGACACTAGTCCTTGCCTAAAGCTTTTGTCTCATAAAATGGGTCTCTGGTTCCACACCATTAAAGGATGCACTGAGGAAACAGAAAAGAAACGATCTAATTGTCACAGGACAATGAGAAAAGTATAGGTGCGTGCATGCATTTACCCCAAGTGGAGGCAGAGTAACTTCTCAGAATCTGTATGCTGGTTCCTCCGCTCCCCTGGGCCAGGCCCGGGCCCGGACGCCGGGGTACTCACAGGAACAGAGCGCACGACGCCACTGCCCTCGTGGGCTGAGACCCCAGTGAGAGAGACAGGTGCTAGACAAGCAAGAATATAATGCTTTTTGCAGCATTATTCACAATAGCCAAGATGCCAAAGCAACCCAAGCGTCTATGAATAGACAAGTGGGTAAAAAAGTGGTGGTACCTGTATATGATGGAATATTATTCAGCCATAAAAAAGAATGAAATCTTACCATTTGCAACAGCATGGATGGACCTAGAGGGCATTATGCTAAGCTAGTCAGAGAAAGACAAGTACCATATGATTTCACTAATATGTAGACTGTAAAGAACAAAATAAATAAACAAACAAACAAAAAAAACAGAAACAGACTCATAAATATAGAGACCAGACTAATGGTTGCCAGAGGAAAGAGGGCGGAGGGACTGGGTGAAAAGGATTAAGAAGAAATTGGTAGTCACAGAATAGTCATGGGGATGCGAGCAAAGTGGAGGGAATATAGTCAATAACATGGTAGTAAGTATGTATGGTGCCAGGTGGGGACTGAAAATATCGAGGGGAACAAGTTATATGATTGTCTAACCACTAAGCTGTACACCTGAGACAAATATAAAATAAAACTGAAAAAAAAACCCAAGAATATAATGTGTTCAGTCTGCCCACAGCGGGAGGGGCTGCGGACGCTGCTGCTCGGGCCAGCAGGTTTGCAAAGACGAGTCCGGGGCGCAGACCGCGTCTTCTCCAGCACCTCTGGGGCCCTGTGGTCAACGGTCCCTGAGGGAGAAGGTGTCAGAGTGAGCAGGACAGTGTCACCAGTCCAGACTTGAACTTGATTGCCTGTGAAGTTTTGTCTTTGGTTGTAAATTTAGTTTTTTCGGTTTCTTTCAGAGTTGTGTGCTCTCCGCAGAGGGAGCACCCGGTGAGCAGAGCTCCGACCGGCGGGAGCGGGGGCTGCAGCCAGGACAGGCTCCCGCGGCCCTGAGCCCCTCCGTGGGTTACGGGCTGAGACGGCCACGTTCTGGGGGAAGGGGAGGATGCGGCCAGTCACTGTTCACTAACTGGGTCTGAAGTTTTCTGATGTTTTAACTGGCTACGTGCTGTCACCCAGGGGCATCCCGGCTGAGCGCCAGCCCTGGCTTTGAGCACAAGGGATCTGTATTTAAATGTCAAGCCAGGGTTACCTATCGAAATACTAACATTTGCCAGGTCCTCCCCTCACCCACTCATTCCCAGCAGGTGGCCAAGCCATTTGTATTTTTCTTGACTTGGGGATTTTTCCGGAGCAGAAAACAGAAGCAGGCCTGTCATACTAGTCAATTCTCAGCCAACATGAGCATGGGACCTCCATGGCCTCAGAAGGCCATTCCTCCTGCGAAGAGGTGTCTGTGTATTCGGTGGTGTGTTCTTTACTTTGAGCAACCCCTTCGGCCCCCAAGCCACGCCCCCATTCCAAGCAGACCACGAGCTCAGCACTGCCTGGGAGCAGGGTGCTCATCTCGGCAGGACTGACAGCCATCGCCCTCGCCTAGAGCCATCTCTCCTTTTTTGTCAGTGCAGAGGGTCCCCACGAAGGGTCACCCCACGCAGCCCTCTGGGGTAGAACTCTGGTGAACACGAGCCAGTGAAAACAAACAGGGGTGAGGAGGGCCCGGCCCAGCACCCTCTGGCAGTCCCGAGGACACATGGTGCTTGGCACTTCGGCTGCCACCTTGAGACCCGGCGAGAAAGACAGAGGTCCTGATCCAGGGCTTCGTACGCTTCGTATACCTTCGCTGAGCTGCTGAGCAGAGGCTGGCAGCTGCATACGCCAAACCTCCGCATGTGTGCACTCATCTGAGAAAGCCAAACCTTATTGTTTAGCCACTGTCAGCCATGTATTTTGTTACAAAAAGCATCTGAAGCAATACAAAATAATCCTCAGAAAGGTGCTAGATGTTTCCAATTTCCCGCTTGGATCCACTCTCTTCCCTTCTCCACCTTGTTGGCCTGCGGCCGAATGACCCAGGGCCAGGACTGCAGGACAGCTTCCAGGCCCTCCAGCTCCCCAGCGGGGTCAGCCCAGGGGAGGCCCCCTCAGGGGCAGGGTCCCGCCAGGGGTAGGAGGCAGAAGGGGGGTATCTATACTCGGGTTCCCTTCCTGAGCGCGGCCGCGGGCTGACTGTCTCCCCCACAGAGGCCACAGCTCCTTTCCGACAGCCTCCTCTGCACCAACAACCCTCTGGGTTCCATAACTGCTCGCCCCGTGTCCCTTCAGCTCTCGGTGTGTCCCCATTGTTGCTAGAACCCTGTGCATCTCACTGTCCTTTGTCGGTTTCCCTTAATCCTGCACACATATTTGCAAAATTTCCATGTATTAAAAACTCTCCAAGCCCTAATTGGTGTGGCTCAGTGGGTTGGGCGCCATCCTGAAAACCAAAGGGTCTCCCCGGTTTAATTCCCACTCTGGGCCCCGGTTGGGGGTGCTAGAGGCAGGCGACCCATTGGTGTTTCTCTAGAACAGTGGTCTCTCCCTTTCTCCCTCCCTTCCCCTCTCTCTAAAACAAACAAACAAACAAACAAACAAACTCCTCTGGTGTGGCTCAGTTGGTTGGAGGGTAGTCCTGTGGACTGAAATGCCACGGGTTCAATCCCAGTCAGAGCACATACCCACCTCGGTTGCATGTTTGATCCCTGGTCGGGTTGCTCTCAGAAGCAACCAGTGAATATTTCTCTCTCCCCCCTCCTCCCGGCCCCAAAAGCAGTGGAAGAAAAACAGAACAAACAAAAATTTAAATAACCCAGGGTGAGCGTGCCACCTGTTTCCAGGTGAGACCATCACTGCTGTGGTAATCGTGGCCCCAGGACCGCCGAGCGCGGGATTCTGGAACCGGGCTGCTCACCCACCGGAGGGGTCAAGGACAACCAAGAGCCAGGGAAGGTGAGACCCTGATGGCCATGGCAGACGTCACGATTACTCAAAATAACGCTGAAGCGCAGGTGGGAACAGGAGCTGGAGGTCAAGTGGCTGTGGGGGAAACTTCCTACAGCATCAATGGTGGTTGTGAATATTGGGGAGTCGCACAAATGGCCTCGAGCCAAAGGAGAGATGACCAAAACCGCAGTAAGGTGTCACTTTACACCCATTAGGATAACTAAGATAAACAAAAACCAAAAAAGTAATAGGAAAAAGAATTGGTAAAGGTGTGGGCAACCGGAACTTGCGCGCTGCTGGTGGGAATGCGGAATTGCGCAGCCACTGTGGAAGACAGTAGGGAGTTCCACAAAAATTAAAAATACATTGATCTCGCACGCCATCCATAAGAATTAAAAGCAGAGTTTCAAAAAGACATTTGTCCACCCACGTTCAAAGCCCTGGAGAAGCCTCAGGTTGGGGAAGAGAAATGGCAAGGGGAAGACCATGGGTCCCGTCCCCACCAGCGCCTGGCCTCGCGCCCAGGGGTGACAGGGCACCTGTGGGCACCCCCTCCCTCCCCACTGGCAGCTGACCGGTTCCCAGCTACCTGCCACCTGTGCAGGAGGGGTGCAGGGCCGGCAGGCCCAGGCCAGCTGCTTGCTCCCAAGGCCGCGGCCACAAGCTGCCTAGGGCCACCATGCCCCCTCCCTCACCTGCCCTGCCCCTACCTCACTTGGGCTTCACCACCCTGGGTCTGCCAGAGGATCTCTGCCCCGCTCCCCACGGTGTCTCGGCCAAGGGCCCCGGCTCCGCCCCGCCCTCCTGCCCTCGGGCTCTGGGCGGCACCCAGGAATGCTCCTCGGGCCTCACCGCTGCTGTTCCCTCAGCCTGGACACTCCTCTGCGATGCTGGCTTGGCACACACTCCCAGACTCTTAGCTTTCGACTTAAACGCCCCCCTTCTGAGTGAGACCCTCCTGCCTGGTAGTGACAGTAATAACAGGAATGACAATGGAACCCCTTAGCTAGTGGTGATGTATGTTTTACTCTTTTTTTATCCTTTTCCCTAAACTCTCCCATCCCCTTCCTCTGTAAGCTCGATGAAAGCGGGAGTCTGCCATTCTTTTCTTCTGTTCTGTTCCAGCAGGGGCCTGT